GAACTGTTCATGAAACGAGGTTTTCTATGATCAAACTGATTCCGTCTTATGCCAATATCTTAAATCCAAACATTTCATTCCCTCGTCAAACATTATAAGATGTGTTTTCATCTGAACGAAAATACGCTGTGCAACGTTAACAAGTTACTATTTTAGGCACTCTACGAAATGACTTCGACCTACATGCATGTGTCAAACAAATACGTCTTCCCACGTTTGAACGGTATCACAGAACTTCTTGCACTTGAAGATCCCGCACAGATCAATGACGCCGTCAAGAAACTAGCAGATGACGCTCAAGTGGCAACGGCTGATTTCAGAAAGGAACTGGAAGATGATTATGTCAACCAACAAATGCGAATAATAAATCGTGTTGATCAGATTACGTGCTTAATCAATGTACTCAAGGAAGATCCTGATATTAAGGATGGATTGGATGATGACGACGACGATATGGGTGTCGCTGACTTCAACTGACTCATTTGTTCCTCCATCAGTTTGCAATGAATGAAGCTGTTAACGTTCCTCTACTCTCAAATCAACAAGGGTTTCAATAAATAATAACGAGCATTTTGTAACGAAACATCGGAACACATCATTAATTGTTGCTGTTGGTACCAAATATGATTATGCATTAGAGAAAGAGAAAAACTTCACGAATCATCACATAGCACCACGGTTAACATAACTAGGAGCCTTATCAGTAAATCCATGCAGCCCCGTCATTTCGATCGCATTCCGAAATTTTGACCGTCTTCTGAATGAATAAACAAATAGATAAATATCCGCAAGCTTGCTGGCTGTCTTGATCGAATGAAAGTTTTATTATCCATGAATGAGCACATTTTACGCATATCGAAAAACAAAATTGAACCACAACAGAGAAAATGAACAAAATTGATTCAAACTGAACAATGATTTTAATGAAAATAATCGGAACTGTAAAATGGCAAAATACAGTTCAACCAATTGGGGAGCATGGAAATACGGAATTCGAAATGGAATAAACAAATTCGTGATCATGAATTGAGACAGGCAAAAAGGGAGATTTTGAATGACCGATGTATGATTGATTGAACGCACATCAACTTGATAAAATCTCTTACCAAGCAACTCATCGCAATATCAAAATGACGGATGTTTATGAATCACATGCTTTATTATGAAATTGAGACGCATACAAGACAGAAAGAATGCAAAAAGAGAAAAATTAACAAATAAGAACAAATCAATCAAGGATTGCAAAAAATTGTTATCACTATAGAATTTATTGGTGATAACCAAACACATAATTTGCATTCGTTGCCGTGGAATGACACCACAAAAATTCATAGGATACAGTGGCCTTTATTACCACCACTTCGGCACTAATATCAGTTCGATAATGATACTGGAAATCACTTTTACACAAACTAACATCTGTCAATTACATTTCGAGCATTCATTCTGGATCAATCTCATCCATGTTATTTGCAGTATAATATGAATCACTTCAACACTGCTTGACAAAACAGCACATATCGATGATCATGATTATCCGTCTCCTTTGTTCTCGCTGAGGCCCGACCGTAATAACTATCAACTGCTTAAAGTGATAATGAAATTTTGATCATTAAATGCAAATTCCTTTATAGACTGATTTTAAATTGGACATTGAAACATCATCCTTTAAGGCCTATCTTTCACTTGGATATACTGGCCTCGAATGCTGAACATTGATTCTTAGGACCTCCAAAAAAAAATTGGTTTTCACCTTAAAAACTGCAAATGACAATATGTTTTCTCTGAAGAAGCTATATA